CTCTCCCCCTCTCACACCTCGTTCCCTTTTTCCTCTTGATTTCCACGCCCATCCCTCTCGTAGCACGCCTCAAATCCAGATCATCTCTCTCGCTCTCTCCATATGATCATTTTATGCGTCGCTCTTCCCTCCTTGATGCCATCCAAAGTTGTCTTCACCGATTCGTCTTCTTCTCGCTCCGAAATTAATGATCATGATATATTTATTATTGGTGGGGGGGTGGGGGTGAGATGAAAAAAAGAGTGTTGCTGTCTGTCTGCCTGCCTGCCTGCCTGCCTGTCTGTCTGTCTGCCTGTCTGTCTGTCTGTCTGCCTGTCTGTCTGTCTGTCTGCCTGGCTGTCTGCCTGTCTGCCTGCCTATATGCCTGTCTGTCTGTCTGGCTGTCTGTCTGTCTGCCTGTCTGGCTGTGTCTGCCTGCCTGTCTGTCTGTCTGTCTGCTTCTCTGTTTGTTTGTCTGTCTGTCTGCCTCTTTGCCTGCCTGCCTGTCTGTCTGCTTCTCTGTCTGTCTGTCTGCCTCTCTGCCTGCCTGTCTGCCTGTCTGTCCGTCTGCTTCTCTGTCTGTCTGTCTGTCTGCCTCTTTGTCTGCTTCTCTGTCTGTCTGCCTCTCTGCCTGTCTGTCTGTGTCTGTCTACCTGTCTGTCTGGCTGGCTGTCTGGCTGTCTGGCTGTCTGGCTGTCTGGCTGGAGGCCACCAGTTGGCCCGTTCGCGCTACGATCCAACGGGGTGGGGGCGGTGGAGCCGCTATGGCTTTTACAAAATCCATCGGCCCATAATTTTTTCCTTTTTTAAATCCTTTATATTAAGTTCGCTTGCTTGCTTGCGTGCTTGCTTGCTTGCTTACGATCGTGCAAATCTTTCGGTCGTTTTTTAACCCACTTCCCGTGATCCAATCGAGCTGACATTTTGCACACAGACTCGTTGTGCGAGACAATTCATTTTCGTGAAACGTTTTTTCCAAAATTTTACACTGTTTAGATAAAAAAAAATTCAATATTTATTTACCAATTGCTTAATGGTGGCAGACAATCATCTGACCAATAGGTGGCAGCCATCTCAAGCCAGAGAACGAGAGGACTCGAGCCGCCACGCATATAAAGGATTTAGAGTGAAAAACTTTGTTTTTACGGGTAAATTTTTTTAAGTCCCAGACCGTCACTGCTCACGGGGTGAAAGTGTCTTCGGGCGGCATTAGCGACAGCAGAGTGACAGGGAGACGACTGACCCACGCCAGCCTTTGGTGCAGGCCGGGCGGGAGGGAGGGCGGCAGCTTCCATCCCGGTGGCATGAGCAGTGGTTGGTTTGTTTCGCTGAGCGAGGGCTGGGCGGTGGTGATGATGATGGTGGCGGTGGTGATGATGGTGGCGGTGGTGATGGAGGAGGAGGTGGAGGAGGAGGGAGGAGGGGGGTTACCAATGCGACTTCACCGCTCACGGTTAATGAGCTCGGAGCGATGGCGATCTGTCGCGAGCGCCGTAAAAATGGCCCAATTAGGGCGCAGAATTGAGTCAGAAATAATTAATCCGCAGTGTGCAATTAACAAAAGACGCGCCCGCGTAATCAGTTAGGGTTAAATGCATAATGCATTGCATTCCGAGGGGGGCTGGGTGGAGAGGTTGAGGGTGAGTGGGGTGGGTGGCGCAGTGGTTGAAGCACTGCGCTAATTTCCAACTCAACCGGAGTTTGATTCCTGACCATGGGGAGGGGAGGGGGAGATTCATTGGCAGGAAATTCATTGTCCCATTGATGCTAACCGCTGGCGCCGCGGTGACTAGGAGATGTTAACGACCTCGCCTGGTGCGCAGGAGGTCGTGGGTTAGATCCCGACCCTGACGCCTGCTGCTGTACATTTGGAGTTTGTGTCTCTCTCTCTCTCTCTCATCATCATCACGGTGGCTAAGAGATGTTAACTACCTCGCCTGGTATACAGGAGATCGTGGGTTCGATCCCGACCCTGACGCCTGCTGCTGTATATTTGGAGTTTGTGTGTCTCTCTCTCACATTATCATCACGGTTGCTAGGAGATGTTAACTACCTCGCCTGGTGCACAGGAGGTCGTGGATTAGATCCCGACCCTGACGCCTGCTGCTGTATATTTGGAGTTTGTGTGTCTCTCTCTCACATTATCATCACGGTGACTAGGAGATGTTAACGACCTCGCCTGGTGCGCAGGAGGTCGTGGATTAGATCCCGACCCTGACGCCTGCTGCTGTATATTTGGAGTTTGCGTGTCTCTCTCATCATCATCATCATCACGGTGGCGAGGAGATGTTAACTGCCTCGCCTGGTGTGCAGGAGGTCGTGGGTTAGATCCCGACCCTGACGCCTGCTGCTGTATATTTGGAGTTTGCGTGTCTCTCATCATCATCATCATCACGGTGGCGAGGAGATGTTAACTCCCTCGCCTGGTGCACAGGAGGTCGTGGGTTCGATCCCGACCCTGACGCCTGCTGCTGTATATTTGGAGTTTGTGTGTCTCTCTCTCTCACATCATCACGGTGGCGAGGAGATGTTAACTACCTCGCCTGGTGCACAGGAGGTCGTGGGTTCGATCCCGACCCTGACGCCTGCTGCTGTATATTTGGAGTTTGCGTGTCTCTCATCATCATCACGGTGGCTAGGCGATGTTGGCTAACTCGCCTGGTATACAGGAGGTCACCGTGGTGCTATGTTGCTGAGCGAGAGCAAACAGCAATTTCAACTGAACCCTACGAGAAACCGGGAGCCAGTGAACAGTGAAAGTTACTTGACCTGGACACTGTCCGAGAAGTGGATGGCCTAAAGGAGCGCCCTCACCATACGAGGGCCTCAGGCCTTCTCATGGCCTTGCTGGGTCGAGGTCAGGGGTCGTTCACCAAAAACAACAAGAAGAGCCATTTTTTCGGTTTAAAAAATAACACACAAAACCAACGTCTCAACATTTCAGCAATTGCCCGTGGTGAATACGACATGGCGGTCGTGGGTCCTTAAGAGACGCCGTCGCGAAGAGCCAGGAGCCAGCACGCGGCTGCGGAGCCGGGACCCGGAGCTCAGGATGAGGAGGGGGAGGAGCGTGCACGGACTGATTCTACGGGAAAGACCACGCGGCTTTTGCTTCCAAATGGTAACCGCGTCACCTCGCGTCCCAAACACCGTTCGGTTTTTTCGATCGGAGTGCAGCCGCCAACCTCGTCGGGGAGCCAGTGGGAGGGGGCAGGGGGGGTCACCTCGTCAGCGAGCCAGTGGGGGGGGGGGGGTCACCTCGTCAGCGAGCCGCGCACCTCTCTGTGCTCGTGTGATGTCCGTGCGGTGGGTTTGGTGGCGAGCAGCGCCGCGGCCGCCGCTGCCGCCGCTGCCGCGGCATAGGGGAGAAAGCGGCTGCCGACCCCGGCGACGGTCCCGCCGCACGACCCAGGGACCGCGAAGCCGGCGGCGCCCCCGGCCGGCGTGGGCGAGCGGTCCGGGTTGGCCCGCTCGCCCACGGTCGCCGCCCCTGCGGTCGCCCCAGCAGCGGCCGCCCCCGCCGCATCCGAACGGGGGCCTCCCCCTCTCCCGCCGGCCGCGGACACCGCCGCGTGAGCGCACGCCACGCACGGGCACGGCAGCGCGTGGAACGTGGGGTAGAGGGGCGGCGGCGGCGGCGGCGGCGGCGGCGCGCGGAACCCGCACGGCAGCTCAGGCCGAGGGTACCCCCCGCCGCCTCCGTGTTCGAGGGCCCGAAACGGGTCCAGCGGCCGCAGCAGGGCCACCGGGTACAGCGCGCCACCACCACCACCACCGCCGCCGCTATGGTGAGCCGGCACGAGATGCTGGTGGTGCTGCTGGTGGTGTTGGTGGTGGTGGTGGTGCTGCTGGTGGTGGTACTGCAGGTGAGCCGGCAGGTGGGCCGCGGAGAAGGCGTAAGGGAGGCCAGCGGTGGCGGCGGCGGCGGCGGCGGTGGCCTGCGTGACCATGTAGGAGTAGAAGCCGGCCGGGTCCGACGGGGCGGGCCACGTCACGGACAGACGCTGCCGCTTGTCTTTCATTCGCCGGTTTTGGAACCACACCTACGGGGGGGGGGGGTAAGGGAAGGGGGGGGGGGTGCACAGGTGGCGCATCTACCGGTCATGTCAGTCACTCAACCCGTGGCACCACGTGGCCACACGCACCTTGATGGCTAACATCTCTCCTCTCTCACATGATACATGGACCCCACCACGTGGTTTCTACCATCTCATGACCCCACGTGGATACCACGTGGTTCCACCATCTCACGACGACCTCACGTGGACACCACGTGGCTCCACCATCTCACGACGACCCCACGTGGACATCACGTGGTTCCACCATCTCACGACGACCCCACGTGGACACCACGTGGCTCCACCATCTCACGACGACCCCACGTGGACACCACGTGGCTCCACCATCTCACGACGATCCCACGTGGACATCACGTGGCTCCACCATCTCATGACCCCACGTGGACACCACGTGGCTCCACCATCTCATGACCCCACGTGGACATCACGTGGCTCCACCATCTCATGACCCCACGTGGACACCACGTGGCTCCACCATCTCATGACCCCACGTGGACATCACGTGGCACCACCATCTCATGACCCCACGTGGACATCACGTGGCTCCACCATCTCACGACGACCCCAAGTGGACACCACGTGGCTCCACCATCTCACGACGACCCCACGTGGACATCACGTGGCTCCACCATCTCACGACGACCCCACGTGGACATCACGTGGCTCCACCATCTCACGACGACCCCACGTGGACATCACGTGGCTCCACCATCTCACGACGACCCCACGTGGACATCACGTGGTTTCACCATCTCACGACGACCCCACGTGGACATCACGTGGCTCCACCATCTCACGACGACCCCACGTGGACATCACGTGGCTCCACCATCTCACGACGACCCCACGTGGACACCACGTGGCTCCACCATCTCACGATGACCCCACGTGGACATCACGTGGCTCAACCATCTCACGATGACCCCACGTGGACACCACGTGGACATCACGTGGCTCCACCATCTCACGACGACTCCACGTGGACACCACGTGGCTCCACCATCTCATGACGACCCCACGTGGACACCACATGGCTCCACCATCTCACGACGACCCCACGTGGACATCACGTGGCTCCACCATCTCACGACGACCCCACGTGGACATCACGTGGCTCCACCATCTCACGACGACCCCACGTGGACACCACGTGGCTCCACCATCTCACGATGACCCCACGTGGACATCACGTGGCTCAACCATCTCACGATGACCCCACGTGGACACCACGTGGACATCACGTGGCTCCACCATCTCACGACGACTCCACGTGGACACCACGTGGCTCCACCATCTCATGACGACCCCACGTGGACACCACATGGCTCCAGCATCTCACGACGACCCCACGTGGACACCACGTGGCACCACCATCTCACGACGACCCCACGTGGATATCACGTGGCTCCACCATCTCACGACGACCCCACGTGGACATCACGTGGCTCCACCATCTCACGACGACCCCACGTGGACACCACGTGGCTCCACCATCTCACGATGACCCCACGTGGACATCACGTGGCTCAACCATCTCACGATGACCCCACGTGGACACCACGTGGACATCACGTGGCTCCACCATCTCACGACGACTCCACGTGGACACCACGTGGCTCCACCATCTCATGACGACCCCACGTGGACACCACATGGCTCCACCATCTCACGACGACCCCACGTGGACACCACGTGGCACCACCATCTCACGACGACCCCACGTGGACACCACGTGGCACCACCATCTCACGACGACCCCACGTGGACATCACGTGGCTCCACCATCTCACGACGACCCCACGTGGACATCACGTGGCTCCACCATCTCACGACGACCCCACGTGGACACCACTCACCTTGATGGTCGTCTCGGGCAGGTTGAGGGCGGCCGCGAGCTCGCACCGGCGTGGCCTCGAGACGTAGTTCTCGCGGTAGAACTCCTTCTCCAGGCGCCCGATCTGCTCGCGCGTGAAGGCTGTGCGGTAGCGGCGCGCCTGGTCTGACCCCGTGGGACACGCGGTGGACACGTGGGGCCCACCGCCACCTCCACCACCATCACTCACGCCGGTGGAATTGTCCCTTGTCATGTTGAACGGCAGCCCTCTTCGAGCACCACCGACTGCACCTCCACCTCCGTCTCCTCCTCTGTCCGCACAGACGCTCCGATTCGCTCCGTCGCTCGCGGACGGACGCGTCGCGCACTCCGTGAGCGCTGTGGGTGAAACGGGACGGGTATAAAGGCAAAGGTCCCCCGTCTGGTCTTCACAGGATGTCAGCAGAGCCAGTGCCGTGCTGTATTTGTGTGGACACATCATCACCCCGTGAAGATTTACAGACTGGTGGTTGAGCGCCCTTGAAGGGAATTGATGTGGGCAACATCATGCCCGGCTGCCTTTGAGGTTGAGTCGACCTAGGGGAGGCTGATAACCGGGTCAGATATTCGCCACTGTCATTCGTGGTAGCGCTAACCACACCGCGCTACCGCTACTGACGCACCCTGGAAGACAAAGATCCCCCGAATAGCCTTAACAGACTGTAGGGGCAAGTGCTGTTAGCGAGCACCTCTTACCGACAACATCTCTCTCCCAATTCAGCAAGAAAAAAAAAGTTTTTGCTGCGGTTTTCCCAACTGATGATGATGATTGCTTGTGTTGCGATCGAAACGTCGTGAGAATTATTTTATTATGATTTATTTTTATTATTGTATTACTTCCCTTCTACGTGACTTTACCGAAAGAACCAAGAAGATGAATCCCTGCAGTCACGAAAGCTTTAAATCGAAATTTAATTATATTTTATTACGTTGTATTTTTATTATTTTATTATTTCCCTTCTACGTGACTTTACCGAAAGAACCAAGAAGATGAATCCCTGCAGTCACGAAAGAAGCTTTAAATCGAAATCTAATTTTATTTTATTATGTTTTATTTTTATTATTTTATTACTTCCCTTCTACGTGACTTTACCGAAAGAACCAAGAAGATGAATCCCTGCAGTCACGAAAGAAGCTTTAAATCGAAATCTAATTTTATTTTATAATGTTTTATTTTTATTATTTTATTACTTCCCTTCTACGTGACTTTACCGAAAGAACCAAGAAGAAGAAGAAAATTATTTCTTGCTGTGGTTTTCCCACCTGATGATGATGATTGCTTGTGTTGCGATCGAAACGTCGCGATTTGATTTAATTTATTTTCTACCCACGTGACTTTACCGAAAGAAGCAAGCAGTATGGATCCATGCAGTCAGGAAAACTTCAAATCGAGATTAAAGATCCCCCCGTGTAGCCTGAACAGGACGTAGGGGCAAGTGCTGTTAGCGAGTAGCGCCTTTGAAGGCCGGCACGGCACACGAGGGGGTGGGTGGCCAGCACCACGCCCGACCGCCTTTGTCTCCCTGACACACACACACACTGACACACTGACACACACATTGACACACACACTGACACACACACTGACACACACTGACACTGACACACTCACTGACACACACACTGACAACAACAACAACAACCGCCATTCGCCACTAAGTGGCGGTGACGTCACCACGATGCTTGTGCCAGGCCAAGTGCACCTTGAGGCCACGTGAAGTGTCGAAAGCCCGCTGGCAGGAGGTCACGGGGCAGACCCAGGTGCCACTGGTCGACTGACCGAGATGACCGAGATGACTGGCTGATGCACCACCTGTGCCCCCTACTGTGCCAACTTGCTGTGCTTTAGCCACCCGGCGCTCCGCTCGTTGTTGTGAGCGTCGCTCCTCCGCCCTCCGTTGTTGTTGGAGGGCGACTGCCTCCAACTGCCCAGTAGCGTCCTTCACGAGCCTCCTCCACTGAGGCCGATCTTGACACCGCTGGTACCAGTCATCGGCAAGTCCACTCAGCTCCACGTCCTCCTGTACCACATCACTCCATCTCTTCTCCAGCCCGTGCCGCGCCCGTCTAGCCCCCTCGATCCGGCCGAACAAAAGCACACACACTGACACACACACACACACTGACACACACACACACACACTGACACACACTCACTGACACACACACACACTGACACACACACACACACACTGACACACACACACACACTGACACACACACACTGACACACACACACACTGACACACACACACACTGACACACACACACTGACACACACACACACACACTGACACACACTCACTGACACACACACACACTGACACACACACACACACTGACACACACTCACTGACACACACACTCACTGACACACACACACACACACTGACACACACACACTGACACACACACACTGACACACACACACACACTGACACACACACACACACACACTGACACACACACACACACACTGACACACACACACTGACACACACACACTGACACACACTCACTGACACACACTCACTGACACAATCTCCCAGCTACTTACGTCTACTCTCCGTGAATCGCACCGAGTTGACGCAGAAATCCTCTCCCGCGCTCCGTCTCTCCTCTTCCACGTCGATCATCTCCTCCACCACCTCCTCCTCCTCCTCCACCACCTCCTCCTCCTCCTCCCCCTCCTCTTCCACCTCCTACTCCTCCTCCTCCACCACCTCCCCCCTCCTCCTCCTCCTCCTCTTCCTCCTCCTCCTCCACCACCTCCCCCTCCTCTTCCACCTCCTCCTCCTCCACCACCTCCTCCACCACCTCCTCTTCCACCTCCTCCTCCTCCTCCTCCACCACCTCCCCCTCCTCTTCCTCCTCCTCCTCTTCGACTTCTCTTCGACTTCTCGCTGCAGCAGAAGCAGCGACCGTTCCAGCGGATACAGGAATAGCAGCAACAGTAGTCGAAGCATCAGTTGCAGTAGCAGCAGCAGCAGTAGTTGCAGCAGTAGTAGCAGCAGCAGCAACAGTAGTAGCACTAGCAGCAGTAGCAGCAGCAGCAGCAGTAGTAGCAGCAGTACCAGTAGCAGCGGCAGTAGCAGCGGTATCATTACCAGCAGCAGTAGCAGCAGTATCAGTAGTAGCAGCTGTAGTAGCAGCAGCAGCAACAGTAGTAGCACTAGCAGCAGTAGCAGCAGCAGTAGTAGCAGCAGTAGCAGCAGTATCAGTACCAGCAGTAGTAGCAGCAGTATCAGTAGCAGCATCAGTACCAGCAGTAGTATCAGTACCAGTAGCTGTAGCAGCAGTATCAGTACCAGCAGTAGTCGTAATAGATTCAGTAGCAACAGTAGTAGCAGCAGTAGCAGCAGCAGCATCAGCAGCAGCTGTAGCAGCAGCAGCAGCACAGCAGTATCAGTAGTAGCAATAGAAGCAGTAGTGGTATCAGCAGTAGCAGGATCAGTATCAGGAGCAGCAGTATCAGGAGCAGCAGTATCAGTAGTAGCAGCAGTAGAAGCAGCAGTGGTATCAGCAGGATCAGTATCAGCAGCAACAGTATCAGGAGCAGCAGTATCAGTAGCAGCAGCAGTATCAGCAGTAGCAGCAGTATCAGCAACAGCAGCAGTATCAGCAGTATCAGTAGTATCAGCAGTATCAGCAGGATCAGTATCAGCAGTAGGTGGATCTTTATCTCCGAGCTGCAATTCCCTAAGCATCTCGAAGCGCACACGTCCATTGCTGCTGCTGATGATGATGCTAGCGAAGGGGGTGGTGATGGTGGTTGGGTGGTGGTGGTGATGGTGGTTGGGGGTGGTGGTGATGGTGGTGGTGGTTGGGGGTGGTGGTGATGGTGGTTGGGGGTGGTGGTTGGGGGTGGCGGTGGTGGTGGTGAAGGGGGTGGTGATGGTAATGTTAGTTGGGGGTGGTGGTGATGGTGGTGGTTGGGGGTGGTGGTGATGGTGGTGGTGGTTGGGGGTGGTGGTGATGGTGGTGGTGATGGTGGTGGTTGGGGGTGGTGGTGAAGGTGGTGAAGGTGGTGGTGGTGATGGTGATGCGAGTGAGGGTAGAGGTGGTGTAGTGGGTAGCGCACTGCGCTACGAACCCAACGACCCGAGTTCGATTCCAGCTCACGGCCAACATCAATAACGATTACATGAACCAGTTTTGGGCCTCCCCTAGATCGATTCGACCTCAAATATGAGTACCTGGTGCGGTGTCTACAACATCAGCACTGGGGAGACTAAGGCGGCCGCGCTAACCGCTACGCTACCGATCCACAGACAGACGCAGACAAACACCAACGCATCAGAGACGACCCAGAGAGACGCAGAGACCCAGAGACCCCGAGAGACAAAACCACCTTGTACTCACCAAATGTGTTGACTTCTGTGACTCAAAGACCCAGTGATTGGAAGAGCCGCATCTCAACAACAACAACAACAACTATGTAAAGTAAACACATAAACACTCTATTGTATATGCCGTATTAAGAGGATCAATGACAGGATGCCATAACCGCAAACGACGAAACGTATAAACGCTGTATATCTTATATATATATATGTGTGTGTGTTGTATATGTGTGTGTGTGTGTGATACAGAGAGCGGACACAATGCTGCCTGCTGCTTCCCAGTTTCAGCTGTCTGTGATCTCTGATCCGCCTTCATCCACCTCGAGTTTCAGCCTCCTCCTCCTCCTGCTCCTACCCCCGTCAAATACCCCAAACTACTCCCCCACCTACTCCCCCACCTACCTACACATACCTAGAGCCCCTCCCCAGCCACCCTCCCTTCCCTCCTCCCGTCACCTCGCCTCCCACCCACCCCGCCATCCCCCACACATTCACCCACCCACACACACATTCACTCACCCACACGCACACATTCACCCACACACACATTCACCCACACACCTACACACATTCATTCATCCACACACCTACACACATTCACACATTCACCCACTCACACACCCACACACACATTCACTCACACACCTACCCACTCACACACACATTCACCCACACACACATATTCACACACACACATTCACCCACACACCTACACACATTCATTCACCCACACACCTACACACATTCACCCACACACCTACACACACTCACACACACATTCACCCACTCACACACATTCACCCACACACACACATTCACACACCCACACACATTCACACACCCACACACACACATTCACCCACTCACACACACATTCACCCACACACACACCCACACACCCACGCACATTCACCCACACACCTACACACTAATGCCCACCCACACGCGCATTCAAACAAAATGCAAAGGTCCCCCGTGCAGCCTTCACAGACCTTTAGGGGCAAGTGCTGTTAGCGCGGCACCTACGAAGGCCGGCACGGCAGCGCCCCAGACGGTGGTAGGAGACCAGAACCACGCACCCACGGCCGCCTTTGTCTCCCCAGTGACGTTGTTTACGACACACCGCAGCAGCAGGTACTCATTTGAGGCCGAGTAGACCTAGGGGAAGGCTCACCATTCGCCCACCCACCCATCTACTCACCACGTAACTAACTTCTCACCACCATCATCATCATCATCAATCATGCATCACCCACCCCCCTCCCTCCTCTTCACACCCCCTCCCCTTTCCCCAATAAAATGAAGGTAAAGATCACCCGTGTAGGCTACACAAGGCTGTTGGGACAAGTGCTTTGAGGCAGGTAGACTCCTCCATATGTACACACACACACGCGCACACGTTACCGCATATACACATTACACACTATTCATACACACACACACACAAAGACAAAGATCCCCCGTGTAGCCTTAACACACTTTTGGGGGCAAGTGCTGTTAGCGAGCACCTACGAAGGCCGGCACGGCACACGAGGGGGGGGGGGGGGATGGGTGGCCAGCACCACGCCCGGCCGCCTTTGTCTCCCTCGTGGGCGATGTTTACTACACACCGCGCCAGGTACTCGTTTGAGGCTGAATTGATCTAGGGGAGGCCCAGAACCGATTCAAGGTATTGGTCGTGAGCGGGAATCGAACTCGCAGCGCGCTAACCATTGTGCCACCGCTCACGAGCCTCCAAAGACAAAGATCCCCCGTATAGCCTGGCAGAGACCTTGTTGGGGCAAGTGCTGTGAGCGAGTAGCCTCCTCCTGCAATCCCAAACACAGCCACCGCTTTGTGGCGGTGACGTCACCACGGCGCCCGTACCAGGCTAGGTGCACGTCGAGGCCACGTGAAGGCGAGCGCGCGCGCGCGTTATCACCCAGCTGAGAGGCAATCGAGAGCGTCAAGTGTGTGTATGTCGAGGTGTGTGTGTGTGTGTAGAGGTGTTGGTGTGTGTGTAGGTGTGTGTAGGTGTGTGTAGGTGTGTGTGTAGATGTGTGTGTAGATGTGTGTAGAGGTGTGTGTGTGTAGGAGTGTGTGTGAAGGTGTGTGTGTGTAGATGTGTGTGTGTAGGTGTGTGTGTATGTCGAGGTGTGTGTATGTAGAGGTGTTGGTGTGTGTGTAGGTGTGTGTAGGTGTGTGTGTGTGTAGGTGTATAGGTGTGTGTAGGTGTGTGTGTGTAGCTGTATAGGTGTGTGTAGAGATGTGTGTGTGTGTAGAGGTGTATGTAGGTGTGTGTGTAGATGTGTGTGTGTAGGTGTGTGTGTGTGTAGAGGTGTGTAGAGGTGTGTGTGTGTAGAGGTGTGTGTAGGTGTGTGTAGAGGTGTGTGTGTAGGTGTGTGTACGTAGAGGTGTGTGTGTGTAGAGGTGTGTGTAGGTGTGTGTAGAGGTGTGTGTGTAGGTGTGTGTGTGTGTAGAGGTGTGTGTGTGTAGGTGTGTGTGTAGGTGTGTGTGTAGGTGTGTGTGTAGAGGTGTGTGTGTAGGTGTGTGTAGAGGTGTGTGTAGGTGTGTGTAGGTGTGTGTGTGTGTAGGTGTGTGTGTGTGTCGAGGTGTGTGTAGGGTTGTATGTGTAGAGGTATGTGTGTGTAGAAGTGTGTGTAGGTGTGTGTGTGTAGGTGTGTGTGGGTGAATGTTTGTAGGTGTGTGGAACTTAAATTAGTACCTTGTGGTGGTGTGTAAATATCGACACCGGGGAGACAAAGTCGGCCGGGCGTGGTGCTGGCCACCCACCCCCTCGTGTGCCGTGCCGGCCTTCATAGGCGCTCGCTAACAGCACTTGCCCCAACATCTCGTTCAGGCTACACGGGGATCTTTAATCTAGATTTGAAGTTTTCGTGACTGCAAGAATTTCCACTCTTTGCTTCTTTCGGTAAAGTCACGTGGGTAGAAAATAAAATAAATCAAATCGCGACGTTTCGATCGCAACACAATCAATCATCATCATCAGGTGGGAAAACCACAGAAAAAAAACATTTTTTAAATCCTTTATATTAAGTTCGCTTGCTTGCTTGCTTAGGACCGTGCAAATCTTTCGGTCGTTTTTTAACCCACTTCCCGTGATCCAATCGAGCTGACATTTTGCACACAGACTCGTTGTGCGTAACAATGAATTTTCATGAAAATTTGTTTCCAAAATTTTGACCCATAGGTGGCAGCCATCTCAAGCCAGAGGACGAGAGGACTCTAGCCGCCACGCATACAAAGGATTTATAGTGAAAAACTTTGTTTTTACGGGCTATATACTTGTTTCT